ACTCCATGGGAACAGGTGTCCTCTTCTGGCTTCCACAGACACCAGCACACACACAGCAGACACACAGACATAAATAAATGTGAAGACAGCAGAGGAGGAGAAACCAGCTAAGCATAGGTGTAGGAGGGAGCACAAAGCAGTGTTCCTCCACGGTTTCTGTCTTTGAGTTCCTACTGGAGTTCCTGTCCTGTCTTCCAACAATGGACTGCAGCCTGGAAGTGTAAGCCACATAACATGTACTGTGGGTACACACTACATATGTCCATACTACATAATATATAGTGCAAGCTACATAAATCTTTCCTCACCTAAATGCTTTTTGTTCAGAGTGGGTTTTTTTTTTTTTTTTTTTTTTTTTTTTGGTTTTTCCAGACAGGGTTTCTCTGTGTAGCTTTGGTGCCTGTCCTGGATCTCGCTCTGTAGACCAGGCTGGCTTCACAGAGATCTGCCTGGCTCTACCTCCAGAGTGCTGAGATTAAAGGTGTGCACCACCACCACCTGGCTACCTTTCTACTTAAATTTCTTCATAGGAGACAATATCTCTAGTGTACCCACACACATACACATACCAATATGCAAAACAAATAAAAAGGGGTGGGTGGAGAGATGCCTCAGAGGTTAAGAGCACATTTACCAATACTGCAGGAGTTCAGTTCCCAGTTCAGCTGCTGGGATAAAACACTCTGAATAAAAAGCATTTAGGCGAGCAAAGATTTATGTAGCTTGTACTAATATATATGTGTGTGTATACACACACACACACACACACACACACACACACACACACACACATATATAATGTAGTATTCACGTATGTAGTGTGTACACACAAGACATGTTATGTAGCTTACACTTCCAGGCTACAGTCCATTGTTGTGAGGCTCATAACCACACATAACTCCAGGTCCAGGGGACTGTGAAGCCTTTTTAAGCTCTCCTCAGGTACCTGCACTCACATGCATATACACACAATTAAAGTTTTTAACTAAAGTAAATAACTTAAAACAGGAAATGTCCCAGCACTCGGGAGGCAGAGCCAGGTGGATCTCTGTGAGTTCGAGGCCAGCCTGGTCTCCAAAGCGAGTACCAGGAAAGGCGCAAAGCTACACAGAGAAACCCTGTCTCGAAAAACCAAAAAAAAAAAAAAAAAAAAAAAAAAAACAGGAAATGAGGGGCAAGAAATACTTCAAAAAGAAAAAAACAAAAAAGGAACTTCCATAATAAACTGGAGGGTGGCTGGTTTCTGTAGGTATTTCACAAAATGTTGTAGGTCCATAAGAAAAGTGCTTGCTGTGAAAGCTGATGACCTGAGTTCCATCCTCAGAACCCACGCAAAAAAACTGGATGTGGCAGCACACACCTGTAATCTTAGCACTCCTAGGATAGGACTCAAGGCGGAGATAGGAGAATCATCTGGAAGCTTGGGAACCAGTTAACCAGAGTGTATGGCAAGGCCAAAACAACGAAAGCCCTGCCTTAACAAGACAAAAGGAGAGAACTGACTCCCCAAAACTGTCCTCTGACCTCCAAACACACACACACACACACACACACACACACACACACACACACACACACACACTCTCTGTAGTAAGACAAGATTTATTGTCAAAAATACATACACAAGAAAAATTGGAGACTGGAGATGTGTTTGTATCTCAGAACTAAGGAAGTCAAGGCAGGAGAACTGGAAATTCAAGATCATTCTCAATACAAAATGAGTTTGAGGGCAGCCTGGGCTACATGAGACCTTGCACTGAGATAGGCCAGGCACTTTAATATTTGCCTTCATTCACCCAACACTCAGTAACACCTACTAAACACCAGGCATCTCATCTCCAAGGACATAATTAATCCTTGTTCTCATGCACCTTAATAGCCCATGAGACAGAGAACTGGACACACTCAAGAAGTTATCAAATACATTATTTATTGCTATAGTAAAACTACAAAAATACAGTTTGTAAAAATGATGGAAGGCAAGCTGGGGAAAATCTGAAGAAAAGAAAAGAGCTACCTTTAATGTTTCTCTCTAAATTCATAAACCACTGTAGATAAGGAAACTTTCCCAAGACCACAGCTGTTGATCTTGGGATCACAACCAGGCTTTCAAACCAGGTTTTAGCTTGTTTTTGTAGACAGTCTCACTATGAAACCCATACTGGCTGGCTATATAGATAAGGCTGGCCTTGACCTCACAGAGAGCCACCTGTCTTTGCCTCCTGAGCGCTGGGATTAACAGGTTGCACCACCACATCCTGCTCAAAGCAGGTCTGAATGACTCCAAAGTCCATACTTTTCCCAGGGTGATGCTGCCTCTTTCCAAAACACTTTGCTCTGAACGTTAATGGAAAATTCAGATTCTAAATGTCAGAAGTAGACTCTCTCCTGAGTAGGCCCTTTGCTTTTTACCTGCCATCTCCAAACTAATTCATTTTCACAGACCCCCAGATTTGGTAAACTAATATAATTTGCTCATTCAAACCATACCTGGTAACAGAACACCTTCTCGGGGGGAGGGGAGGAGGGAGGTCACTCCCAAAGATTTGGGGAAAGGGGATCTATTACTCTGTGGTACCATAACTAAAACAAAGAACTTCCTGGCAAACAGGATTTTCTTGGTTTTCATGCTTGTGGTTGAACACCAGGGCCTGCAGCATGGTAATAAGCACGTGCTCTATGGCTAAGCTACACCCCAGCTCAGGGCAAAGTGTTACAAGCTGATTACAGTTTTTCAGAGTACAAAATCTATTTAAAAAAAAAAAAAAAAAGATTGGCAGTGATCAGGTCAACAGTTTAACAGAGAAAAATAGTGCAATTACAGAATGAACAAAAGAAACATCATACTTTCACTTCTGAAATGCCTTTCATATTCAGCCTTCTCATTTGATAGGGACTTTTTCTCTAGAGGCCTGGCCTGTCTCTTCTTCCAGCTCCTATTTCCTCTTTCTCAGCGATTCCATTCTTGGGAATAGCTGGCTTAAACAAGGCTGTTACATTAGATCTGTTGTGAGTTACAGCAACAGAACACAGTCATAAAATCAAATTTGGCAAGCTTCCTTTTCTGCCACATTCTTGTGATTTTTTTTCATGCTGGTAAAGAACAAGAAGCTAGATCCTTTTTAAATCCAAAACTCACCCCCAGGCAAATTGCTAATCATTCAATCCTTTGCTCAACCATCTCCAAGATAGAAGAATAAATGAGTGTATCCAAAGGTTATGACCTTCCACCTTTATCTTAGTTTTCACTGGGGGAAAGGGGAAGTTAACAGCTGCCGGTTACAGCTAATGACAAGCTGGCTATAACAAAGTCTGGCTTTAAAAATCAGAATAAAACATATATATATTATATATAATATATATATTATATATATGCAGGCAGGCAGACAGACAGAGATAGACAGATGGACGGATGGACGGTGTGGGGGGGTTAGCAGCAGACAAATAATGTGAACAAAAATATTCACTGTGACTGGCTTACAGATGTACTTATTTGGAAAAAACAACACTCAAATATCTGGCCCATTTCTTCTTCTCCAGTAACAAATGACAGCAATTACTTATAGTAAGAGCTACATGGTGGCCTGTAACAGTAGTCCCTATACCTGAGAGGCAGAGGCAAGAACATCATGCCGAGTTTGGGGACAACCTGCTCTACATGGCAAGTCCCAGATCAGCCAGAACTACACATCGAGAACCTGTCTCAAAAACCAAAACACCCCGGAAAGACCCTAAAGTACAAGATGTGCAGTAGTATCCCACAAGTACCACATATTCTCCAAGAAGCAACCTCCGTTTGTTGACGCTTTGAGCTACTTCACTAAGTTAACAAAGGTACAAGAAGAGTTACTCTAATAATACCTGCGGATTATTTGAGGCAATAGACACTGAATAAGTTAAAACATTATCACATCGCTAATAACACAGGATTTATAAGGTGAGTTTATATTTTGGAATTCTCTGGCAGTAGTATTTTACAACATAATTATATACATGGCTTGTATAGCCTGGTGAATTTCCTCATTGACCGTGAACTACAACGAAATGCTTTATTATTAGTTTATTGCTAGTCACGTTGTTCATACTCCTTTATAAGTAACGTTCCTCTGAACTGCAGTTTCTAGACTGCTCTGCGTTGTACTATTGAGACCCACCGTTCAAAATGTTCTTTTTCCCCATCGCGCCTGAAGCACACGAATGGTACACCATACAGAACTTTTATATAATAAAAGTATTGCATGTCTCCGACCCTTAGTATCTGAGCACCCACCCTGGTAAATGACAAAGACAAAAACCAATCGCTAGGCAGGCTCTCGGTGGCTTAGCCAATAAGAACATGGGGGTGGGGTTAGGCTAAGCTCCCGGTGACTTCCCCGCACCCCGGAGACCCAGCTTGTGGGAGACCGGACAGGAATTGGGATACGAGGATCTCGTTACCCCCGGTTGTAGCTGTTGTCCTCCTCGTTCTCGCAATCGCTGCAGTGCTCATGGCCGTTTCCGTTCCCTTCCATCATCTGCGGCAGCGAAGGTGCCGGCAGCTTCACTGCTGTCTCACTCACATCCGCCATCTTGGGTTGCGAGAGCCGGGCTCCGCGCCCCGCTACATGGAGGGCTTCTATTGGACAGGAGGAATAGGCACTGTATTCTGGGTTTTGTAGTTTTTGTGAGGAAATCTGCCACTAAGGGCTGCTCGTTCTCAAGAAACTGGACCGAAGTGGACTACAAAACCCAGAAATCATGAAGGAATGCCTTGGGAGGAGTGGGCAGCAATTCCGGAAACCCCTAGGTTCAGCCGCGCTCTGAGGCGAAGAGGTCCCCACGCCTTGCAGGGTGGTCGCGGGGCATGCTGGGACTTGCAGTTCCATGTTGAATTAGCGTTTTGCGAGTGATAGGTTGCAAAGTCCAAGGTTTCACTTCAGTGTACCCTTGATAGGCATCGGGGCACAGGTGAGCCGTTATCGGCTGCCGTTAAGAACCGTTACCATTCCTGGGTAAGTGAAAGACACTGAGGTCCGAGGCTGCGATTCGCCAAGAGCCCATTGCCCCTTGGAGAGGGCTTTCCTACTAGAAGCCAGGTTTGCTCTCGGCTGCCTTCCCCACTCCGGCCTAGGCAGACCTGGGTCTTTGCAAGCCTAAAAGCCAGAGGCAACGGATTGAGGGTGTGTAGAACGCTGACCCTGAGCCAGAAGACTTGATTGCTTGAAGGCGAGACGTAAGATTTCTTGGCTTCTAGTTTTGCACCGAGCTCTTACATTGTCCCTTTGATTTACCATTAGAGCCTCCCATCTCAAGTTTGTTGGTGGTGGTTTTTTGAGATTATAATATAATTACATCATTTCCCCCCTTCCCTTTCCTCCCTCTAACCCCTCCCATATACCCTTCACCTTGCTCTCAAATTTATGGCCTCTTTCTCTTTAATAGGTGTGTGTGTGTGTGTGTGTGTGTGTGTGTGTGTGTGTGTTTTCCTAAATATATAAATACAGCCTGCTCAGACCAAATAATGTATGTATACGATTTCAGGGCTGGTGTGCTCTTCCCTCGGGAGGACTATTGCTTCTCCCACCTTCAGTATTCCTTAGTTGCCTGTAGTTCTTAGTCTAGGGTTAAGGCCTCATGAACTCCCCTACCCCCTTAATGAACACTTATACACCAGGCTGTGGGGTAAGACTTTTGTACATATTTTTGTACAATTTTAACAAGCCTAGAAAGTGCATGCCATGATTATTCCCTTTTTTCACAGATGAAAAGAAGACTTGATTGCTTGAAGGCGAGATGTAAGGTTTCTTGGCTTCTTCAACTTCCAGAAAAGTTGGTACATTGCTTGTAGGTGGCAAAATCTGTATATAAACCTGGATCTCTCTACATCCTCTTTATTTTTACTTTATTTTATTTATTTATTTGTTTTGTTTTGTTTTTCAAGACAGGGTTTCTCTGTGTAGCTTTTGGAGCCTATCCTGGAACTTGCTCAGTAGACCAGGCTGGCCTCGAACCCACAGAGATCCACCTGGCTCTGCCTCTCTAGTGCTGGGATTAATGGCATGCACTACTACCACCACCACCACCACCCCACCACCCCACTATCCCACCACCCCACCACCCCACCACCCCTGGCTCCCTCTTTAATTCTTTATCATCACAACAATCACGTTGTCTGATACAGGCAACCACCACAGGAAAATCGATTGTAGGGAGGTAATTGCAACATCTAACTTAGAATTGCCGGAATGCCTCAGTCCCTTGGGTCTCCCTGCTGTCACTTATTAATCTAATCATAATCCTGAGAAGATAGCCCAAAGACGTAGGCTTCGAGAATTCCCACAATGGTAGGTGAGGAGAGAAGACTAGTTCTTACCATCAGAGAGCTGCCGGCCAAAAAGGGAAATGATCCTTGCCTTTGCAAAAATGAACAAGGAAGAAACAATTCCCCTCTGACTCAAGAACAGAAAACAAAAGAAAACACAGAGCTAAATATAGTCAGCTCCTCTTACATTAGTGTCAGGCCCAGAAAAGTAAATAGACTCCAAAGCTGCAAACACTGCCCGGTCATTTCTGTTTGATTTTGGAAAGCAGTCAAAGCTACCTACTTGGGCTCAGCGGTCACCCTTACTCACCTCTCCAGGAGCAAGACTGCGTTTCAGTAGAGGGCCTGCCTTGCGTGTGTAAGGGTTCGCTGTGCGCTAACCTCTACATCCAACATAGTACATAACTTTATGTGTGTGCATGCTTGCTTGCACCCTGACCCATTGAACCATCTCACCATCAGGACGTTGATTTTCTGTTGCCTCTTTTAATTTACATGCTGTTGTAAAGAAGACAGGGGAGGGGACTTGAAGAAAATGGTACTTGTCCCAAACTCAGTGATGCCCAATTGCAGAGCTTAAATGAGAACTTACATCTCTTATTCTAATTCCCAGTTCTGTGTTGTTGGTTTCTGTGCAAACAACAAACATTCAGTAAGATCAGGGAAGAATGGATGTGTAGGTTTCTGTGAACCTTGCCATTCTTTGCGGGGGGGGGGGGGGGAACGGGGAAGAGAGAGGGTCGTGTTTTTTTGTTTTGTTTTCTTTTTTTGTTTGTTTTTTTGTTTTGTTTTGTTTTGTTGTGTTTTTCGAGACAGGGTTTATCTGTGTAGCTTTGCGCCTTTCCTGGAACTCACTCGGTAGTCCAGGCTGGCCTTGAACTCACAGAGATCCGCCTGGCTCTGCCTCGAGGGTTGGTTTTTTGAGACAGTTTCTCTGTGTAACAGCTCTGGCTGTCCTGGAACTCACTCTGTAGACCAGGCTGGCCTCGAACTCAGAGATCCGCCTGCCTCTGCCTCCTGAGTGCTGGGATTAAAGGCTTGCACCACCACTGCCCAGTAGACCCTGCTGCTCTTGTAGTTCACAGCTTAAGTGCAACAATTTGCCCTGCCAGGTGTGATGGCACATGCCTGTAATCCTAGCACTAAAGGCAGAGGCAGGAGGAACATAGTAAGTTTGAGGCCATCTTGAATTCCATCGTCGTCTTCTGGCTTCTATAGGTACCAACACACGTATGCACAAACCCGCACACAGATACACAGGCATACACTTAAAGTATTAAATATATAATATTTAATATTAAAAATATAATCTTTTAAAGAAGATTTTTGAGGATAAGCCAGGATCACAAGTTTGAGGTCAGCCTGGGTTACCTAATGAGGTCCCCCTGCTTCTGCTCCTGAATGCAGGAATTAAAGGCATGTACTACCACGCCCAGAACAACAAATATTCTTACCCACTGAACCATCTCCCCAGCCCAGGGTGGTGCTTTTGAGGTACCATATTGAGACTGATAAAGCTGTAGGTTGGGGGAATGAGGAACACACTGAGATTGAAAGCAAGGTTAGTGGTACAGGCCTGTCATCCCATCTGCTGAGGAGGCTGAGGGGTGAGAGCAACACTAGCCTGCCAACTTAGTGAGACCCTGCAGAAAAATAAAAAAATACAAAAGGGTTAGAGATAGCTCAGTGGTAGAGTGCTTGTCTATAGCATGCCTGAGATCCTGAGTTCAATTCTAAGTAACACACACACACACACACACACACACACACACACACACACACACACACACACGGGGGGGGGGGGGGGGGGGGGGGGCGGCGCGGGGGGGGGGGGGGGCGGGGGAGCGGGAGTAAGAAGTTACTGTTGGAAAAGCAGGCAGGAATTGGGCAGAAGAGTGGGAGAACATGGACTTTATCCTAAAGTCTTGGAGCCACTGATGGAGTTTTAGCTGGGGAGAGATGGGATCGTACTTTCGTTGCCAGAAGATTCCATTGGAGAGGCTAGGAATGTAGCTTAGTTGTGTAGGGTGCTTGCCAACAGTACACAAAGCCCTAAATTAAATTCCCATCAGCGTATAAGCCAGGTGTGATATTACCTGTGATCCTAGAACAAGTAGGAGGATCAGAAAGTCAAGGTCTCCCTTGGCTACAGAGCAAGGTCCAGGCTGGCTTGGGCTGCCAATGCACTCTGTCTTTTGTTTGTTTTGGATTTTTGAGACAGGCTCTTATATAGACCTAGCTGTCTTAGAACTTGAAGTGTAGACCAGGCTGGCCTTGAGCTCAGAGATCCATTTGCCTCTACCTCCTGAGTGCTGAGATTAAGGTTTGTGCCACTATACCCAGCTGAGGCTCTGTCTTACAGAAAAATAAGTTCATACCGTACAGTCACTTAGTAATCTTAGGCAAAAAGATTTCTTCGCTCTGAAGCAAGGCCAGTCATCTGGGCGTGAAGCAAGTTGGAGATCATCCTCGATAGCTTCTTATCTCTCCTGAAGCTCACCTTCTGGAGGGGACCCATGACCCATGTTTCTTCCTTAGTCACAGTCCTAAGTGAGATCCAAAGAACAGCGGGCCTCCTGCTCAGTGTTGTGGGTTTGAGAATGTTCCAGACATTCCCTGCACTTTCTAACAATAAGTTAGGACTGGCAGGATAAGATGACTCAGAGGGTAAGAGTGATTTCCAGGCCAGCTTGACAACCTGCGTTCTATATCCAGAGTTTACAATGGAAGGAGAGAACTGACTCCTGAAAATTATCCTCTGACCCCCACATATGCACCATGGAACGGATAAATGAAGTTGAGGGTGCATATTTCTGGGGTGGCATTGTGAAAAAAAATCTTAATGGGGGAAGCAAACTTTAACATTTTAAAAAATCTATTTTTAGCCAGGCAGTGGTGGCACATGCCTTTTTTTTTTTTTTTTTTTTTTTTTTTTTTTTGAGACAGGGTTTCTCCGTGTAGCTTTGGAGCCTGTCCTGGATCTCACTTTGTAGACCAGGCTGGACTCGAACTCACAAAGATTCACCTGGCTCTGCTTCCCGAGTGCTGGGATTAAAGGTGTGCGCCACCACTGCCCGGCAACACATGCCTTTAATCCCAACACTCCAGAGGCAGAGGCAGTTGGATCTCTGAGTCTGAGGCTGGCCTGGTGCCAGAGAAACCCTGTCTCGAAAAACCACAAACAAAAAAATTATTTTTAAATGATTTATTTATTTTTATTTTATATGCATTGGTGTTTTGCCTGTATGTATGTCTGTGTGAAGATGTCTGATCCCCTGGAGGTAGAGTTACAGGCAATTTGTGAGCCACAATGTGGGTGCTGGGAATTGAACTCGGGTCCTCTGGAAGAACAGCCAGTGCTCTTAACTGGTGTGCCATCTCTCCAGCCTCCCCAGAATTTATTTTAAGTGTAGAAGTGTTTGACCTGTGTGTGTGTGCATTATTTGTGTGCCTAGTACCCAAGGAGGCCAGAAGAAGGCTTACCTGGAACTGGAGTTACAGAGGGTTGTGAGCTGCCCTGTGCATGCTGGGAACCAAACTTGGCTTGGGTCCTCTCGAAGAGCGGCAAGTGGTTTTTTTTTTTTTGTTTTTCAAGACAGGGTTTCTCTGTGTAGTTTTGTGCCTTTCCTGGAACTCACTTTGTAGACCAGGCTGGCCTCGAACTCACAGAGATCCGCCTGCCTCTGCCTCCCGAGTGCTGGGATTAAAGGCGTGCGCCACCACCGCCCGGCAAGCAGCAAGTGGTTTTAACCACTGAGCTATCTCACTAGCCCTTTTTCCCTCCCTCCTTCCCTCCCTCCCTCCCTCCTCCCTCCCTTCCTCTCTCTCTTTCTCTCTTTCTCACTTTCTCTCTTTCTTTCTCTTTCACAGTCTTATGTATCCCAGACTAGCCTTGAACTTGCTATGTATTGAGATGACCTTGAACTTCTGATCTTCCTGCCTCTACCTCCCAATGCTGGGATTATAAATATGTACCACCATGTCCAATTTATGTGGCACTAGAGATTCAGCCAGGACGTTGTAAATGCTAGGCAAGCATGTTTCTGCAATTGAGCCGCATCTCTATCCCCCTAAAACAAACGTTACATTTGGCTTTTAGAGGCTACTTAAACTCTGTATTCCCTCATTGTAATTTCTGGGGCCCTACAGACTCTCTCCTAAGCTAAACTGCAGACTTACTTTAGTGTGTGTGGCTATCCACCACAGATCTTACATTGTGTAAGGTGAGAGAACAGGGTGCATTTTCCTCGCTTTCTTGTATCCCTTAGGCCAGCCCACAATGGCCCTTAACATTTGCCGAGTAGGGCTTAGTGACAGAACCTTTATCTAAGACGTGGAAGATTCTGGGTTTGTTCTCTGTCCCTGAAAACAAACAAACAAACAACAGCTGACCAACAGAATTGTTAGGTGTATGTATGAGCACGTGGTGACAAGAAGGGATAAGACCGTGGTGGGGACATGACAGTTAAAGGCAGAGAGAGGCAGGAACGCAGACTGTACGCCAGGATGTGGGTTTGTGCAG